GTCTCTCAATCTCTCGATTTGCACGCCTATCTCTCCATTTCTCTCTATCTCACTCTCTATGACAAATTATAGACTGTAATTAGACCCTCCACATGTGCACTCATAATAAATGTATCTTGGATTGTAACCTAGATCTACAGTATGGAAAGAAACCCACAACAAAATTATAATCAAATTCATTGTAATTGTATTAGGGCCATAATTACAAGAACGAGCAAACACTAAACACACACAACACACACACATATTATTATACATTGTACACGGTACACGGTACACGGTACACGCGTGCGCGCGCACGCTTTCACCAGGTGCCTCGTAACTCGTACGATACATTATGTGAAACCCGATATCCAATTTACCCCGTCATAAGAATTAAATATAATTAACATGAACATGTAAAATACTGACATTATTATTTGTGTAGGCTTCGGTGTAGATCTAGGCGCTTTGAAAACATTTGCAAAGGAATTTTTAACATTCACAATGACAAAAGAAAACCAGCAAACGATGGTGTAAGGAAGAATGATTAAACAATTAGATTGAAGGACTAGTCAGTTGGTGTACCCTCATGTCTTTTATTTGTTCATTTATAATAAATATGTGGTTAGGCTCTCGGACTCGCAACCGTAAGGTCGTGGGTTCGAATCCCGTCAGGGGTCCGACGTTGTGTCCTTGTAGCCTTGTGAAAGGCACTTCGCAAAAATTTTCCACACTTCACCCAAGTGAAAATTATGGTTACCCGGCTATAGACAGTGAACGATCTTGTCAGTTTTCGCGGAAGCCGAGAATGTTTCTGAGTGTTCTCCGAGGGTCTGCTCGGGTAATAATAGTTGTAAAGCGCATAGAGCATGCTCTTGGGCAGAGCTGTTAAAGTACTTTTTAAAAAGTACTTAAGTACAAATTTAAGTACAATCTAAAATAAATGTACTTAAGTACAGTAAAAGTACTTTCCTGTAAAATGTACTTGAGTACAAGCACTTTTTAAAAAGTACTTATAAGTACATTTTGAGTACTTTCTGCTAATATGCTTAAACACTTCAGCGCTTATACAAAACATCATATTATATAACCTATCCAGTATATTTTACAAATTAGGCTATTTATTACTAAAAATGTAAACAGTATGCAAAGCATTTGAATATACAATGTGCGCACTGAACGTAGGTGGAAATGGTCCGTGAAATTGAAAGAAAAAACCCCCAAACAAACAGACGCAACTAGTGGGTAAGTGGTATTATGAATAGAACTTGTTTGAGCAAGACAATGTGATCAAATGTAAGTCAGTCCAAGAGGTCATAAGTTGTACAGAAAATGTATCCAAATTGGAAAATGTAGATACAAAGTTGCTCTTGATTAAGAAAACATAAAATTAATGAAAATGGCCAGCATAGAAAAGGAAAAGTGCATTGAATTCTTCAAGGAATCAATGTAGCCTAAAGCAAAAGCCACCCCCCCCCCCCCCCCCCCAAAAAAAAAAGCTTAAAAGAAATTTAGGCAGGCTAAAAAAAAATTATTAGGTATACATTGAGAACACAGTTTCAGTTTCAATTGATTATAGTGGTAAGACAGATTTTGGTCACCTTGTGTAGTCCACGGCGCCCACGGCAAACCAAAATACAATAGTTTCCTTGGCGTTTAAATGACCAAAATTGTGTCGATAGTGCCGTAAAACATCTACCCAATCAATCAATAGTTTCCTGGAGTCTAGTAAGTGTAGTGCACAGAATTCTACAGTGTTGAATTCTGTGGTGTAGTGTAACCAAAGATTCCCCACTACAGTAGTCTCCGCCTAAGATCCCAGTGCTCGGAAGCAAGAAAAATATTATGGGATCTCAGCCGACGAAGCCAAGGAAGAATCTACAGTGACCCATGAACTGACGTAACCCCTGGGTGGATTTATGGCATATGGTGAGCGAAGAGTGGTCAACCTTGATGACCAATCACGCCATAAATAATAATAGACCCACTCATTAGCCTATCGTGAGTCTCGAGATCTTGATCTACGTTTATCCAGTTGCCCCTCCCCTTCACCTGTCCAACAATTTTAGCTTTCCATCTCTGATTGAGTCCCCCCCCCCCCAAATCGCCTTTACTTTGTCGTCACGCTCCATTGCGTGTGGCCACACCAATTAAAATTCAGGCTGTCTCGCAAATTCGGGAATAGAGAAAAACTGCTTTCAATGGTCAGGGAAGAGTTCACAGTTTGATAATATGTGATCCCGCCTGGAGCGAAATTGTAGGCCCTACCCACCCAGTGAGTGATGTAAGTTAAGGTGGTGAGCTCAGACGCGAGTGCGATGTTTGGGGAAAAGAAACGCATCGATCGGTTCACACCTTGGTGTGATCCCGTCGGGAGCAAACAGTGTACCGTTTCACGGAGTTTTACAACCCTTGCGATCACATTCAGGATAGTGGCTGATCTTTGACGCGACGGGCCGTTCTTTGATCTCAACTTTTAACTCTTGCGGTTGATCGGCTGTGCCCGCCCGGGTGTTTGTTCCGTAAATTATGATCAGAAATGCCGGCACTTACCCTTTCATGAAGCTTCAAAAGTACTCAAAATGCACTTTAAAAATACTCAAAAGTACTTTTATAAAAAGTATCGGAGTACAGTAAAAGTACTGGTTTAAAAAATGTACCGGACCGGAGTACAGTAAAAGTACCGAAAATTGTAACGTAAGTACTCCGTTACAGCCAGCTCTGCTCTTGGGCATGAATATAAATTATATGCTATGTATATAAATGCAATTATTATTATTATTATTATTTTATTTTATTTTTAAAAATTATTATTATAATTATTATTTTAAATATCGATGACTGTTGATATTCCCAAATCTTTGGGAATGGCATGTTCGCGGTGGACTCATTCTTCCCAACAGTTTGGAAATAATAATATTATTATTATCAAGATCCAGGGAGTATTAACAGAGACTCTTACATAATATTAGAATTTAGAGTCACTGGTCAAGAATAGTCAAAATCAGAGACACTAAAATACATAATATTAGAATTTAGTGTCTCTGTCAAAATTCATATTCTTAAAAATCTTGAGTAGCTTTTCATGTTACAGTACAATTCATGCTATAGATCACGTTATAGGAAAATGTGTCAGGTTTAATTCAACTTCCATGAAACAAAAATATTTTTTCTTGTTTAAAAAATTATTTTGATATTAATTAGTAAAGCTATTTTCAAAACATTTTAAATTCTTCTCATATTTTCCCAA